GGGTTTTAGGCTTACCTGTCTTGGTGGGATAAGATGAGTGCCATCACGTCCATTTTTGGGTCGTGACATGAACAACCCTAATTATAAGTTAAACACACGAACTTATTCTATTTTGATTGTTAAAATGATTTTAAGAAGAAACAAAGATTATTTTCTACTTATTTATCAGGTAAAGTGATTTTAAAAGAAAAGAACTAAAAATAAGTTTCTAGAAGTAATACTTTTATTAAAAATAAAATATATTTATTAAAAAAAAACTAATATACTTATATTAATAAAAGGGTTTTTGACTCATTAATTAACAGGTGCATTTCCCGATCCAACTATTAGACTAACTAGGCCAAAATATGAAGTTGTTTGACAAAGATATATTTGGACCAAATGTATTAACTAATGATATTTTGATTCATTTTTGCCTAGTTTAAAACATATTTTTAACTATTTCTAAAACATAAAATATGGTCAAAATAGGCAATTAATTTTAACGAACATTCAATATATGCCCTTGTTCTTAGGTGGGAAATGAAAAGCTTTAAATCTTAAATTTTTCTAATTTTTCACTATATATACGACACTATTCTTAACCATTTTATTCACACAAAAAAGAAAACCTCATTTATCTTTTTTTCTCTATGGCCAACTCTCTTGAGAATGTCTCTCCTCTCTCTTCCCCTCCTCCCTCCCCTCCTCAAGTTTGCGACGAGGAGGCTACACCACCAGCTGGAACTGAGGTCCCCTCAGTCGGTGCTCTTCCTCGAAAGAGGGGACTCATGGTGATCGGAGGGGAAGGGACGTCGGAGGACAGGGCCAAAAGGGCAAATGTAGAACCACCAGTACTAGCTCCAGCACCAGCACCAGCACCAGCACCAGAACCACCGGTGTTAGAAAGAACCTGCTTTGCATGTGATATGGTGTTTGACACGATGATATTATTTCTCCGGCACATGCAGTCGCATCAGGTGCTGGAGACTTCCTATGTTCCTGACTTGAACCAGAACCAGGTTCCGAACTGGACACCACCATATGAACCAATTGCATCACCTGATGATTACAACTCCAGTGACATTAGTGTTGATGATGATACCGCTGATGCTGATGCTGGTGCTGATGCTGATGTTCCTGCTGCTCCGAGGGAGCCGGTGTATCTGTTGCCAGATTTGAATCTCCCAGCACCAGAAGAGGATGAGGATGACGATGAGGATGAGGATGGTGATGAGTAGTAGTACTGAATCGTGTTTATTATGAACCGATTCATGTTTGTTTCGTTTAATTATGTATGTTTTATTTTTAATAATAATAATTCATCGATATATGGATTGATCATTTATGATAAAGAGAGTGGTTTAAGAGTTGTTTAATAATAATAATTCATCGATGAGATTTTTTAAATTAGTGGAGGAAGAGAAAGAAGAGTTGTATCCGGGGTGTAAGAATTTTTCTAAGTTGAGTTTTACCATCCGATTATACTTGTTTAAATGCATTCACAAGTTGACTGATATGACCTTACAAGGCAAAAAAGGTCATAAAAGATTTGGGTCTTCATTATGAGAAAATTCATGCTTGCACTAACAATTGCATGTTATTTTGGAATGACAATGCAAAGTTAGATAATTGCTCTGTGTGTGGAGCTTCAAGATGGAAGAATATTCGTAATGACTTAACTAATAAGGTCAATTAAATCCCAATAAAGGTTTTAAGGTACTTTTCTTTAAAGCCTAGACTTCAGAGGATATTCATGTGTTCAAAAACATCTGTAGCTATGAGATGACATGATACTGAACGACTTAAAGATGAAAATTTAAGTCAATTTTTAACATTTGGAGGTGTTTGACAAATATATATTAAAAAACTTAAAATATGCCGGGAAGTGTTTGACAAGGACAATTATTATTTAAATAAGTTCAAAATGACTTGAAATAAGTCAAGAATCAAAAGTAGGTCTCGCCCTACTTTCTATTTTTTGACTTAAAAATCATTTCATTTTGTCTTTTTATTATTAACTTAAAAGCTACTTTTTAAATCAATCCAAATTAAATGAGCTCTAAGTCATTAAAATAAAGACGTTGAAAATATTTGATGATGTAAATACGGATAAATGAATTTTAGTTCTAGCTTAAAATATTGAGATGCAATAATATGATTTTTTTTTTAAAAAAAATTAATATTTGATGATGTAAATATGGATAAATGAATTTTAGTTTTTGCTTAAAATATTGATATACGATAATATGATATTTTTAAAAGTAAATTTAACTTTTAGTTATTTTCTTTTCAAAATGGTGACTTCGTGGAAAGTTGGTGAAATGCCCTCCAACACATACTATGAAGTAATTAGAACATTTACTACTTGTATTTGGCGTATATATCAAAAATTTAATCACATGTATCTAATAACATTGTGAAGTAAGTAACAAAGTCATATTTATTTTAAGATTTATTATAACAAGATTTGTCAAAGCAATAAATAATTTGTTGATTTTATCAAATTGCTTCATAATTAAATTTCATCGTTAATTAATATTTAGCAGAGAAAAACATGTGAACTACATCACATAATTATTTTAAGATGACAGGTAAAAAATAAAATTGATTGAACTGAAAATATTGTAAAGATTAATTCTGCCAATATACATATTTGAAAACGTATCTATAATATATATATATATATATCTTTTACTGAGAGCTAATGATACTAGTATATAAGTTTATCTTTTATCACTAAATAACAATGTAAAACATTAACTACTTGAAAATATGAAGTGTTGGACCCGTGTTTACAAGGGACATGCTCATATAGTATATAATATGGGGAAATAATGTGCTAAATGAATGAAGTTTTTTTTCTTTGCATATTTAAATTGTGTGACTTATGAAAAATGCATCAAAAATAAAGAGATATCTGTTCATAAATATTCTAAATCAAATCAAATAAATTAAAATAAAGGACGTAACAAATACGAAAGATGTATAAATAAAATTAAAGAAGAAAAAAAAGCAATTAAGTAATGACATAAGAACTCATACCATGCTTTGCTTGGAAATAATCCTTCATGAAGGCTACCAATTGATTATTATAAAGACTTTTTGAATTCTGAAAAGGAGCACTATAGTCTATATATATACTTTCTTTTTATTTGCACAAATGCCCTACAACACCCTCCAAATCGTTTCTTTCTTCTTCACTGTTATAATTTAGATAAAACGTCAAAGTTAACTATTATTAAACAAATCTTGATATTTTAAAGTGAGTTTAAAAATTCAAATTTGATATTATATCAATTGAAATTGTTGAAAATCAGAATATTAGAATATTGAATACAAAAAATTTTTGAGATCACATTGTTGCTAAAATATTATCAAAACATGATTTAAATATCTATAATAGACATATGTCATAATGTTTGAAATGTATCTTTGAGATGTTTCAAAGAAAAAACGTGCGGACAATCAAATGAAAGAATATTTTTACTACCAAATTAAAAATCTAAATATCAAATGATATACTTTAGAAAAAGAAATAAATTTTTTCCATAAATTATATAACCTGATTAAATTATAACCACGTATGTTTCCAAATTGAACATGAATAAAACAAGTCATGAGTTTTTCAAGAAAAAATAAAATAAATAGTACTAACAAAATCCACCACTAGGGCAACAAACAGTTACTAGTAACTTCTTTCATGTCATTAACTCGAACTTGCACAAGATATATCCTGTTGTTTAATGATGTTATCGCGTAACGTTTGTTCCTCAAGAGTCTTGGACCAGAAAATATGTTGGCTCAACTTTTGCTACATACCCAAATTTGGATGCGTTATACTTATTATGCACCCTTATTAGTCCCCCTGTTTTTGCCTTATCGTGATACATCACTATCAATTTTGTGCATTTCCTAAATTAAAAAGAAGCGAAATAATTAGAATACGTAGTAAAAGAGAGAATTACAATATAGAAAAACAAAATAATTAATTAGTATACTTGATGTACTCACATAAGTGATTCTTGTGAATACCCTATATGCCATTCACAAGTTGTACTCCATTCCTTGACGCCATAGAGCGTGCATTGAGCTGTATAGATTTCCGCGGCAGCCATAAATGATGATGAATTCATCAGCATCTCATATTCCACGAGACAAAGCTCGATTAAAAAGAAAGACAATTCCTCTAGCTGGTACATAATAATTACAACAAAGTAATTCAGATACTATATATGAAAAATGAATAAAATAAAATACGAAATAACTATTTTTTGTGCTATTATAACCTTTTTATCAGCTTGAGTAGCTTTGAGAAATCTTCTCATAAAAACGTATGCAGTTGGAAAGGACATATTGTTCTGCAATGTGTTGAGCATCAATTTCTCCTGCAGTAAAATTGATTAGGAATCTAAAAATTAATTTATGAAATATCGAAAATAACTGCGATGATTATTTTTACCATTTCAATAACGTCTTTTTTGTTGTAGTTTTCATACGAAATAATCACCAATTCCTGCACAAGAGGGGGTAAAATCTCCTCGTATTTGCCTGCTATTAGAAAGGCAACGAGACCAACAAGCTGCAGTTTGTTTTTGGCAACAACTTGTTTCTCTAAAAATCGGTCTAACAAATTAACAGTAAGAAATAATGTCTCTTCCTTGAGCTCGAACTTGTCATGTACCTGTTAGTTTAGTAAAATAATTATAAGAAAGTTAAGTAACAATTATACCTTTAATTAATTCTGATTATTTCCAAATATTCAATTTAATAATTACCTCAATGATCCAGTCTATGAGTACACCTCTCATATTCCCATTGATCTCAGATTGTTGTTCCATATAGTTTGTTAAAACACAACTATAAACCTGAAATACAATAGCCAGCATTACTTGTAATTACAAAAAAAAAGAAGGTAAAAACTCTATTTCAATTTAATTCTCCTGATTTGACTTGGTACAGAGTTTATTAAGATACTAAATCTTCTGTTGTCATATACATGGAATGTTTTAAAATGTCATTTATATGATTTTAAATATGTTATGTGAAAAGTTGAAATTAAAGAATTGTCAAAAAAGAAAAAAAAGACATTTTTATTAACAAATTGAGTGATATATTCGTAAGGTACTTATTAAATTACATCTAATGTGTATGTGTTATGTTAATCAAGGAAAGAAAGTAATTGATATTAAAAGTTTTAACTGAACATAAGGTTGATAATTTAAGAAGACATGATAAATTTATATAGTCTTGTAATTAAACAATCCATCAATAGTGAAAGAATAGTTATTGTAGTCTTGTTATAAAAGCTTCTAATCAACCTTGCACCACTAACCCTAAAAAAATTCTCAATTTGAAAAAAAATAATATGTTTTCATTTGAAACTCAATTAACAATCAAATAATTGAATAAAGACTAGAATTTCTGCCCACTAACAAAATATTTATTCTTATAATACTATCAAATTAAGTTGATCAACAACATATAACTTTACAACATGTAAAGATTATCCGCGCTATATATAACTTAGATCCTTCTAATGAAACTAGACTAACCTCCATTTTCCTGTAGTAGGCATACAAATCTCCCACATATTCAACTCCAGCAAGAGGGTTTTTTGCATCATCGTTGTCAATATCTATTAAAGCCTCCTCAAACACATCCTCCATTTCAATCTCCACCTCCTGAATTTGTAATCGCGCATATATAGAACATCAACACAAATTAATACCACTAGAAAGTAAAATTAAAAATAAATTTTCTAATAATTTGTGTGACCTTGTCATTTGAGAATGATTCAGGTTGTTCCAAACACATAGGAACTGGTTGAGCTTCATTTGTGTCATGTTCCTCTTATATCGTAAAATCTCCAATAGTTTGTTTTGGTTTCTTGGTTTCCTGTTCAAAATCATTTGAGTACACTTAGAAAGAATTAAAAAAAAAATTAACTTTTACATTTTAACTTTTCACGTGATATGAGATCGAAATTATTTACCTCAAGGTAATGTTGGCGTAAGGTACCAATTTGTGTAGCACCAAATTTCCTTCATTTAAAAGTTTATACTTTATGTATCAGCTAACTAACCAAAAATATAATTAAGCAATAGTGACATTGACATTACTAAAATCTATATACAAAATTAAAAAAAAAGTTAAAATTTATCGTTTATGGTCTAACCTCCCGTTTGTTCTAAAATCACGAAAAAGAAAACCCCAAATAAATTATATAAAACAAAAACCCATCAAAAAATAATAATTAAAGATTGAAACAAGGATTACTCTGATAATTCGCGCTTATTAACAACGCAAGGATATCGATGAGCTCCGACTAAATTCTGGTTAATAACACTAAGTGCTCTTCTATTTTGTGTCCTCTCCCCTCCAATCTTGACAATTTGTGCGTTACCACCTTTCATTCATATATCAAAAAAAAAAAAAGTCTTTAATTAAACAAAAATTTTGTATACCTAAAATCAAATTAAAAAAAAAGTGAACAACGAAATTCCAAATAGTTACCTTGCACGTTTGTGAATTTATTCTGGTCCATTTTTTTTTTGTTGTTGAACAAATGAACAAATGAAAAGAAAAGAAGGGAGAAAATAATGTATTGTATATTATGTCTTTGTGAAACATAATTAGATGTGACATTGCTTTATATACTACCAAAAAAAAAAAACTAAGACCGTTGTGACAAATTAATCCAAACATGGTAGACTGCTATGTTACTTTCTATAGTTTCTTGATTTAACTGGATTTGAGTCATATATATTCTATACTATGAGATTGTCACTTAATTAACTTGTCATATTTGCTTCATCTTTTTGTAAAAAAAATTATAATTGCTATTTATAGGCAATTAAGTGTATAGTTGACCGCTAGTCACTGCATAATCTATATTCTAATTACACAAAAGTCTTCACGTAATACATAGCCGTTGGAAAAATATATCAAAATTGTTATTTGTAGTTTTGATGATTTGACAAACTTAGGGACCTCATATAGGTATCGGGTTTTCTACTTGAGTATTGCAGGTGTATTGTTCGAAGTATTGCAGATGAAACAAAACTCAGGGACCTAGTAGAGGTACCGGACTCTCATGATAACGAGCTAGTCAACTGCCAGCTGGAAATGGTGCAGAAAGTAGGTGCACACTTCCCGATGGCGTCAGAAAGTGTGACCTTTCCAGCCAATGGCAAAGAAGTTTAGGAAAGTGACTTGCCCATATAAAAAGCACTTTCCTAAACAATTTTCTTTAGTTTTTGCAACTTGATAAACACTTTTCAAGAACTCTTGCAAAGGCTAATAGAAAGCAAAGGCAGAATCATTCCAAAACAACAGCAACATCTGGAGCATTTTGTCTAGTTGTTTAGGAATTTATTCTCTTGTTATTATATTGTAAACCACTCCTAAATCTATAAAGGACTTGGTGTGTTGTGTTGAAGTCTAGGCTGTCCAAGGGGGATAGTTTAGTGGGTAGATTGTTTTCTACTTAGGCTTGTTGAGCAATAGAGGACAATTGTTCAACGGTAAGACTGATAACTCATTCTTACGTTTGGTGTAATCGTGTTTTACTTTTGCTTTTGAAGATTAGTGAAAACGATTGAA